ACGCATGGGAAATCAGTGTTTTTGGCCTCTTCGGGCCCTCCTGGAGGACCTCTTGGAGGCCTCTTGGGCCGTCTTGGAGGCCTTTGGGGGGCCTCTTGGGCCATCTTGGGCCGTCTTGGAGTATCTTGGGCCGTCCGGAAGGCCGTCTTGGACCATCTTGGGCGGACTTGGAGGCCATCTTGGACCATCTTGGAGGCCATCTTGGGCCAACGTGACCATCTTGGAGGCCATCTTGGGCCATCTTGAGCGAAACATTTGGGAATTGAGCGCCTTCCGGGTGGCCGGCGGGACGGGCCGAAGCCCCAGGGGGAGTTCTGCTGGAAAAAGAACCAAAACCAAATCCTAGAGGGTTCAGCACGCCACGCACCCCTGTGATGAATCAACAGGGGGCGGCGGATCGAAGACGCCTGCGGCGAATCACCGCCGCCCCCTGCCTTTTTGGAAGCGCCTATGTGGCCGAACGTTGAGGCCAGACCTGCCAAGCTATCGGACGATGTGTTCCCCGAATCGGTTTGGAAAGCCTTCGGGGAACACGTGGGCATCTTGAAGGTCATCTTGGCCGCCTGGAGGCCATTTTGACCCTTTCGGGCCTTCTTGGAGGACGGCTCTTGGGCCGTCTTGGAGGCCATCTTGAGCGTCTTGGAGACCTCTTGGGCCGTCTTGGGGGCCTCTTGGGGCTGTGTCTTGGGCCTCTTGGGCGATCTTTGGGGGCACTTGGGCCGTCTCGTGACGTCGGAATGCAGAAAAAGCAAATGCCACAATCTCTCAAAAACCAAGGGGAAATCAATGATTTTGGCTTTTCCGGGCCTTCCTGGAGGCCCTCGTGGAGGCCTCTTGGGCCGTCTTGGGCCATCTTAGTGCCATCTTCGGCCGTCTTGGTGGGCTCCTGGCCCGTCTGACGCCGTCGGAAGCCGTTTGGGAGGCCTCTATGGGCCGACTTGGAGCCCTCTTGGAATGCTCCAGGGCCGTCTTGGAGGACATCTTGGGCGTCTTAAAGGTCTCCTGTGCCGTCTTGGGGGCCTCTTGGGGCCGTCTTGGGGCCCTCTTGGGCCGTTCTGGGGCCATCTTGGAGGCCTCTTGGGCGATCTGTCGGCGATCTTTGAGGGCTCTTGGGCCGTCTCGGGCCGTCGGAAGGCCGAAAATAAACAAATGTCAACATCAGTCAAAAACCCACGGAAAATCAATGTTTTTTGGCTTCTTCTGGCCTTCCTGGAGGCCCTCTTGGGGGCCTCTTGGGCCTTCTTGGGCCAGCTTCGAGCCAACTTCGGCCATCTTGGTGGGTTCCTGGCACGTTGACGCCGTCGGGAGCCGTCTTGGGGGCCGTTCTGGGTCGACTTGGGGCCCTCTTAGGGCGCTTCGGGGCCGTCTTGGGGGCCATCTTGGGCGTCTTGGAGGCCATCTTGGGCGTGTTGGAGGCCTCTTGGGCCGTCTTGGGGCCCTCTTGGGGCCCTCTTGGAGGCCACTTGGGCCGTCATGGGGCCCTCTTGGGGGCCTCTGGGGTGATCTTGGGGGCCTCTTGGGCCGTCTTGAGCCGTCGGAGTGCCGAGAAGAGACAAATTCCCAAATCCTCCAAAAACCTACGAAAAATCAATGATTTTGGCCTCTTCGGGCCCTCCTGGAGGACCTCTTGGAGGCCTCTTGGGCCGTCTTGGAGGCCTCTGGGGGGCCTCTTGGGCCGTCTTGGGCCGTCTTGGACTCTCTTGGGCCGTCTTGGAGGCCGTCTTGGACCATCTTGGGCGGACTTGGAGGCCATCTTGGACCATCTTGGAGGCCATCTTGGGCCAACGTGGCCATCTTGGATGCCATCTTGGGCCATCTTGGAGGATTTGTTTTCCGGATTGAGCACCTTTCTGGGTGGCCGGCGGGACGGGCCGAAGCCCCAGGGGGAGTTCTTCTGGAAAAAGAACCAAAACCAAAACCCATATAGTCTGGCACGCCAGGCACCCCTTTGCTAAAGCAAAAGGGGGCGGCGGATCTAGTGGCCTTCGGTGGTGGGTCAGCGTCAGAGGCCTCATGGATGTTGGTTGGGATCTCGTGGTTGGCCTCTTCGGGGCCTCTGAGAGGCAGTTTTGAGGCCCCCCTGGGCCTCTTGGGCAGTTGCGGGGCTTCTTGGGGCCACTTTGTGGCCTTTTGGGGGCCTCGTTGGGGCCTCTTGGAGCTTTTTGGGAGCCTCTTGGGAGCTTCTTGGGGCCTCGTGGGGGTCTCTTGGGAGCTTCTTGGGGCGGGAGGGGGGGGTACTCGAGTTCGGGACCCTCTCGGAGGCCACGATCCTCGTGAGGGGTGTCAAAGAATGCCCTCCCCAGAGACACGCGGGTAGCCGCGACAAGCCCTAGGAGCCCCCCGGAAAGCGGAGCACAACTCGCCCCCCCCCCCCCCCCACCCACCCCTCCCCCCCTTCCCCGGCAGAGCCCCCCCAGCCCCCTCCCAGCAGAGCTGAAGCTCAGGCTGTAGGCTGTAGGCTGTAGGCTGTAGGCTGTAGGCTGTAGGCTGTAGCTGAGGCTTTTTCAAACTCACACGCCAGATCGGCGGATTTGCCGAGGCCGAGGAGCCCCTTCGTTCTTCATTCAGCGTTCCGTATAGTAGCCCGATGACTGTAGTGATGGCGATCATGTTGTTGATGGTCATGATCATGTTAGCGATAATGCTGTTGATGGTGACGGTGAGGCTGGCTATGACGATCGCGATGACTCTGTTGATGACGACGACGGCGATGAGGATGGTGATGATGATGATGATGATGATGATGATGATGATGATGATGATGATGATGATGATAATGATGCCGACGGTGATGATAACGACGATGACGATGACGCCGACGCCGACGCCGAGATATTGATTGCTTTTGGGCAGGCCCACCGAATGATACCTATACAACCACCCTTCGGGTGATAAGGAGGTTCGGGGGGGGGAGGATGCAACGTCTCACTCGATCGGTCTCACTATCGATCTCACTATCGATCTCACTATCGGTCTCGCTCGATCGGTCTCACTCGATCGATTTCACAATCGATCTCACTCTATCTATTTCATTCGATCGATCTCAACATCGATCTGCCTATCGATCTCACAATCGATCTCACGATCGATCTCACGATCGATCTCACAATCGATCTCACATTCGGCCTCACTATCGATCTCACGATCGATGTCACAATCAGCGTCATCATCATCATCATCAGCATTATCGTCATCAACGTCATCAACATGATCATCATGGTCATCATCATCGGGACACCATCATCATCACCTCATCACCATCATCATCCACATTATCAACATCATCAACCTCATCATCACCATCTTCATCTTCGGGACACCATCATCGTCACCATCATGATCTTCAACATCATCATCATCGGGACACCATCATCATCACCATCGGAACACCACCATCATCATCGCCATCATCATCAGTTCATCACCATCATGAACAACATCATCAACATCATTATCAAAGAGACACCACCATGATCATCAGCAACATTATCATCATACAAATCATCTTCATCGGGACACCATCATCATCGTCACCATCATCATCATCACCATCATCATCATCATCGGGACACCACCATCATCAACCTCAGCATCATCATCATCACCATCATCGGGCCACCATCATCAATATCATCATAATCACCTCATCATCATCCTCATCCTCATCATCATCACCATCATCATCGGGACACCATCATCGTCATCATCATCATCAACATCATCATCATTGGGTCACCATCATCATCACCATCATCATCAACAGCACCATCATCAACCGCATCATCATCGGGACACCATCATCATCCTCATCATCATCATGCCACCATCATCTCAGCATCATCAACATCACCAGGACCATCAACATCATCATCATCATAATCATCATCATCGGGACACCATCATCATCTGCGTCAACATCATCGTCATTATCAACATCATCATCATCGGGACACCATCATCATCACCACCATCACCATCATCATCATCATCAACATCGACAACATCATCATCATCATCATCATCATCATCATCATCATCATCATCGGGACACCATCATCATCACCATCATCATCACTACCACCATCATCATCACCATCATCATCATCATCAACATCATCATCGACATCATCATCATAATCATCATCGGGACACCGACGGGACACCGGCGGGACACCGGCGGGACACCGGCGGGACACCGCGCGCCACCGTCCCCCGGAGAGGAAACATTTGGTCCGGCCGCGCCTCAGCCGGAGGAGACTTTCTTCTCGCCCGCCCACGCAGCTTCGCCTTGCCCGCACGCACGGCACGCACGAACACGAAACCGAAACCGATTTTCCGGTAATTAGGGGGCCTCTCCGTTCCACTTCGATCTCATCCCCTCACCTCCGATCCTTCGTTAGGATTCTGGGGTTAGCCTCACGAACGAGGAGTGGGGCCAGGGCGGCCCTGTCGGCGCCCAGCTCGGTCGAAGCACAAGCCTTGCCCTCCAAGAGAGACCGACGCCGGCTCATCCAGGGTTTCCGGAGTAGGCCAAGCCCAAGTTCGGGGTTCGCCTTCATCGCGGGCTGGCGACTCGTGTTGTGGCTGGGGTGGCAGAATCCAGGCCGCCTGAAAAGTCTAAGTGTTGCCACCTAGAAGATTATGGACCAGCCTCCCTCGGTGGGAAAGTCTCCCGATCTTGATGATGGTATCGCCGTGTATGCCTCCCACGGTACTGGCTGCACCCCACTGACCCGAACCCCTTCCAGCTGGAAGAAGAGCAGGGTAAATCGGGATACGTATCCATCTGACGCGTAATGGCACCTCATCTCCCCGAAACGGCCAGCACGCGCATGACTCGGAACATATCCTGGTGAGTGGAAGCCCCTCGCTCCGATCCCCGCCCTTCTCGTTCTCCTTCTGCTCATCATCCTGTTCGTGCCCTTGCTCACGATCCTGCCCCTCGCCACGGCTGTTTCTTGGCCCAAGGGCGCGGGCCTTCCGCAGCCGGCCCTGCAGCCATGCCCGGGCCCCTGGCCGACGGGCCGCAAGTGATGGCCCGCTGCCCCCGCTGGGCAGCTGTGGGTGCACCGCGGCCGCTCGGAGGCCAAGGGGTGTGTCGGCCACCTCTCCCTGACGACGATGGGGCAGCCCAGGGCAAAGCCGTGCACACACCCAGGGCCGCCGATGGCCCATGCCTTCGGCGAGGCTGCCCGCGAAGGCGTGCCGCGCCCGCCTCGGGGCTCTTCGCCTTCGAGCCTCCGTGCGCTCTCCGCGCCCGCCCCGCCCCGCGCCTGCGCGCAGCTGCCCGGCCCGGCGCCCTTCGCGGCGGGGCCGTGCCGTGCCCGGGCGCCAGCGGGCGCGGCCACGGCCTCGCGGCCGGCTCGCTTGCCGGCGCGTGGGCGTGGTCCCTCCGCAGGCGCAGGGCAGCTCGGCCACGGCGCAGCGCGGGCGGAGCCGCCGCGCCGCCGCCCTACTGCGGGCGGCTGCGCTGCGAGCGCGCGGAGGTTCTGGTGATCGGCGTGGTGCACCGCGATTTGGGGAGCAAAGATTGGCATCAGCATAGGCTTTCGGAGCTCCACGCGGATTCCTCGGATCGGCGCTGGAGCCCCTTGGCTGCGCCTCTGGCGCCTCCCCCAGCGCGCTCCGCGCGCTATGGAGGGGGGAGCCTAGCGCCGATCCAAGACATCCGCGCGGACATCCGAACGTTCATAGTTCTGCTTTTTGTTGTTCCCGCATCGATGGGGGCGCCTCGGGGCGAGCGGCGCGCCGACTCATCGAGGAGTTCGGTGCGGACGTTTGCCTCGTGGAGCTCGACAACCTGCGCTTCTCGCGACTCGTCTCGGCTCGGAGAGCAGTGCCTTGGCCGTACGCTCCGACCAGGGGCAAGCGTTTCGCACCCAGCCCTCAGCGGAAGACTCTTCGGGATGCGCTCTTCTTGGGGTTGGGCACGGCGTCTCTTGCCTCAGGACCGGGCAATGCAAAACCCCTGCCTGGTGACGCAATACATACAAACGAAGCTAAGGCTATGCACACCCCTGCGTGGCGACGCAATACTCCCTGCGGGAGCCACTGCAATCCCCCTGCCTGGCGAAACAATGGTCTCTGCTGGGGACACACTACACATCAATACAGGACAACACAGGATAGCATAGCACAACACAATCCACAGCAGCGTCTGATGAAGCAACATACGCATCCTCAGGATTGGCCGATGAGGACGCTGGGGACGAGTTTTACCAGGCCTTCGTGGCAGCCGACGGGAGGGGCGCCTTGGTGGTCCCTGGCGACGTGGCCGTGTCGAGCGCTCTCGACGGCCTTGTCACCTCCTTCCGGCGCGGGCTTGCCGAACCGCTGGGCCACCTGTCCGCCGGTCTCGGGTATCTCGCCTGCGCGGTCGGTCTGGCCGCGAGGCCAGACAGTCCAGCAACCTCGCCGCTCCAGAGCCGCGGCATCTTCGTCCCAGCCGCGCTGGTGGCCGACGGCCCCGAGCGCACCGCGCCCCTGGTTCGCGCCGTTGCCGTGGGCGCCTGCGTGGCCGCGCTTCTGGACCTGATGCTCAAGGCGGGCGCAGACTCTGGCGCTTCAGGGCCAGGGTCCGCCGAGGCGTCCGGCGCCCAGGATATCTCCATCATCACCGTGCTGCTGCTTGTGCTCGTGTTCACCCCGAAGGAGAAACAGCGGCACAGCTAAAAGCCCTTGGAGGCCGGGGCGGATCTCTTGGATCGGCACTGGAGCCCGCCCCTGGCCGCGCTTTCGGCACCGCCCCTGGCACGCTCCGCGCGCCAGGGAGGGGGGTCCAGCGCCGATCCAAGAAATGCGCCTGGACCTCCGAGAGCTTCTAGTTTTGTCGTTCTTTCTTCTTCTGTCAGCGGGCTGCTCGTCAGCGCCTTCTCGCTCTCCTTCCTGCGCAGCAGAGACGAGGCCATGGCCCTGAAGGTGTTGACCGCCCTGGGCCTGCGGGAGCGACTGGAGCGGCGGCCGGCGGTGACTGGCGCGCCCCCGGGACAGCCTCTGTGGTGCCGGTGGGTGAAGAAGACTTGGGCGGCCTTCGCGCCGCCGCCCTCCACGGACGGGCGGCAGTTGGTGCCCGACAGCGCGCTCGGCGACGGCGAGCGAGCGAGTGGTGCCACGGCCGAGGCGGCGCCCCCCGGCCGGGGAGCCGCCGCGGAGGTCCAGTCGGCTGCCGCGCTACGGCCTCTCGCGCTGCCCACGCGGCCCAGGCCAGACTGCCCTCCGACAACCGCCTGGCTCACCGCCGGTGACGGCGCGGAGGGCGCCTGGGCGCCGCTCTTCACCGTGCGCCGGCCGCTGGCGGAGGGGGAGACGAGGCGGCTCAGCCTCTTCGAGCCCCGGTTCCTGGCCCTGCTCGACTCCCTGAGGGACTTGGGCAGCACGAGGCGGGGGCTTCGCCTCGCCGTCGTGTTCGCCCCCCTGGGCTCCGAACGGCCACTGGCCCTGGAGCAGGCGCCCACGAGCGAGGCTGGCCTGCGGCCACCCCTGTCCGTGGAGGTTGACGCTGTGCTTGAGGGCAGGGGGCGTGTCGTGGAGGTGGAGACGGTGTGCGAGGCCCTTGGGGAGGATGGCCAGCGCCGGTGGCGCTTGGAGGTGCGCGGCACCAGCCAGACGTTCTGCACCAGGTCCTGCGCCCTGGCAAGCGACGAACTGGGCGCCCTGTGGGCGGCGCCTCCCGGGCAGTCGGCTGGCGCGGTGGCAGAGCTTCGTCCGCAGGCTGCTGGTGGCCCGGCCACGGCGGACCCGGTGCGCTGTGTTGTGGTGGTGGGCCTGCTGCACGTGAACGGGGTCGTGCGCAGCCTGTCGCGGCTGCTGGGCCCAGGCGCGTCCGCCTGAGTTGGCGGGTAGCGCGCGCAGGCCCTGGCGGCGGCACAGGCCTGTGGGCCAGGGCACGGCAGCGCGAAGGAGCCCGACGCTCCACCTGCGGTGGCCGTGGACAATCGCCCGCGGTCTGCTGCGAAGGAGAGGCGGGGGGGAAGAGAGAGAGAGAGAGAGAGCAGGAGGATGTACCGAGGATAGGGAACGACAGAGGGGGAAGGGGAAAAATGAGAGAGAGAGAGGGGTGGGCGATAGTCGGTGGTTTGTCAGTTCGTTCTACAAACCACATCGAGTGGTAATCGGCAACAGGCATTCGGCTGGCGTCGCAACCACGGTGCTGCCATGTTCGGGTGCGTGCAGCACATTTCAAGTTGTGTGCTGGTGACTATCTGCATGACCTGTCAGCCTTTTCCTGTCTGCTGCTTTGCGCACTAAGTGATGTAACGCTCGAGTGCGACGCATGACACGTACCATAATATTGGCAATGATAGTTATTGCAACAACGGCTCCAAAATCAGTTCGGTATAGTCACAGTTTTGCCTGGACAAGAGGAGACATTACCAGGAGTAGACGGGCACGGATTTGGAACGAGGCGCAACAATGTGGCACACGTTATTGGCTCGACCATTCTCGCATCGAGCTGGTTATTGTTTCTTGCGCAGCCACGCGAGGGCAGTGGAGAGAGCGGGATGGAAGAGGGGAGCGGACCAGGGTGGGAACGGGGAGAGAACTATCCCTTCTTTGCTCATCTCTTTTCGAGCTAGATCGATCGGCTACAATCAAGTCGCAGAGTAAGGATGAGCAAATCTCCAAGGCTACCCTTTCATCCTTGCCCCTTCTGCCCATGCTTGGCGACTATCGCTGGCCAGCCCCACTCGAGAACGCCAACATGGCCCTCCAAGGCCCTTGCACCCTTACCGCGCATCCTTCATTCTGCCACTTGACTGTAGTGCACTGGAGCCTAGAGCGTGGCAACAACAGCGCCCTCCCGCCGCGTTCACGCCGCCCAGCGCTCTGGATCCCCCTGCCCCCCCAGAAACCGCTCCCGTGCCCTCCCCCTCCGAACAGCCCCGGGGCCGGGCCCTGGACGCGGCAGCACCGCCCGCACAACGTCCAGCCCGGGGGCTGCTCTAAAGGCGTCCCTGGCCCACGGGGTGTCCCCAGCTTCTCGCTCCTCTTGGAGCTCCTGGGGCCCGGGGCCTCGTGACGGGGTGCTCTGCAGAAGCCCTGGGGAGACCCTGGGCCGGGAGCACCTCGTGGCAACGCCCGGCCCAAGAGGTCCTCTGGCCCCTCGGCCGCCCCTCCCCCCTCCCCCGGACGGCTCGGCGCCCCTCGGGGCCGAGCCCCGCCCGCGCGCGAGGAGGGAGACGCGGGGGTCGTTCGGAGGCCTCGGCAAGGCGTGGAAGGCGCGGCGGGGCGGAGCTTCCTTGTGCACGAGAATCGCCTGCTTCCCACCTGATGGGAAGGGGACTCCTCTCTGCTGCAGCTGGTCAGAGAGGAGGAGGAGGAGGAGGAGGAGGAGGAGGAGGAGGAGGAGGAGGAGGAGGCGGAGGAGGAGAAGGAGGAGGAGGAGGAGGAGGACGACGATGACGACGACGACGACGACGTAGAAGTGGAGGGGGGGGAAGGACGAGGGGCAGGCGGGGGAGGATTCCAGCGAGGAGGTTTTAGTAGAAGGTTGGCCAGCACCAGGCGCAGGAGAAAGCTCGATCCGCCCTGTCGCGACCCGAAACTGACGACAGTACAGAGCGAGCCCCGCCTCGGACTCCCAGGAGGCACCGACCCACCTGTGCAAGCCTTGAAACAGTAGGAACGCCATCCTGACTGCTTTTCCGTGTGCCGCCGTGTGCCGCAATCGGGCACTCCTGCCGTCGCAAGATGGCACGCTTTCAGAGGCAACGTGAGCAACGCCTCTCTACGAAACCCAGGAGGCACGAGCAGCAGCAGCCGGCGGGCCGCACAGCTCGGCCCACGGCCGCAGCCCTCCCCGATCCCCGCAAGGAAGCTGCCAAGCTCAGCGCAAGCCCCGCTGCGGCGTCCTGCCCGCGCCCTCACGCCCGTGCAGCGAGCTCCACGCAGCACACGCCCAGATCAGGGCGTTCCCCATCCTTGGGCGCCTCCCCAGGCCGCCCGCCTTGCTGGTCGGGGGCCGCGGTCGCCCCCTCTACGACTGTGTGGGGGGCACACGGCTCGAGTAGACCCGGGATCCGCCGGTTTATCGGCGGCCAGCGAGGGGGGGATGTGAGAAGGAGAAGGCCTTCTCAGAAGGCGGCGGGACTTCAGAAGCCTTCCGGGCCGTCTGAGAAGTTTTCTGTGTCTTCGGGGAAGGCTTCGAAAGATTTTCAGAAGGCCATGGGACTTCCGAGTCTTCTGAGATGGTCCGCGCCTTCTCACTTCCCCGAAGGGCTCTCGCGTCGGAAGCTCGAAAAAGGCGAGGATCTTAAAACAGAAACACCCAAGGGAAATCATTGAATGCTGCCTCTTGGGCCCCTCTTGGGGGTCTTTTTGGAGCGGTCTTGGGGCCTCTTGGGGGCCTCTTTGTCAATCCTAATCTTGGGGACACCTTGGGCGTGTAGGAGCTCTCTTGGGCCGTCTTGGCGGCGTTGGCGGCACTGTCGACTCCCCCTTTGCCTTGTTCCCCGGCCACGCCGCCAACGTACCCTTCCCCTTGCAGGGCGAGAGCTAACCCAGAAATGGAAGCCCCCCCCACCTCTGGCCAGCAGAGCTGAAGCTCATGCGTCGCTGTTCCAAACTCACACGCCAGATCGGCGGCTACACACATGTAGACATCCTATATACACATGAAAAGTATGTATAGCCTTACATTACATGCATACATTTGTATGTTTGCATGCGTGCATGTATGTGTTTACATAGACGCATGCCAGTATGATTGTACGCATCTACAGCTGCGTGTATACATATATGTGTATATATATAGTGCTAGCTAGCGTGGAGCCCAAACTGTGTGTCGCAATCGAGATTGTGCAGTTTATGATATGCAATGTATCATGGGTAATATATTTGGTGCAATATATGTCGTACAGTATAGGTGGTGCAATCTATGTTGTGACTGCAAACTGCAAACACATGTCGTGCATCTATGCGGTCCAATAGAATACGTCGTGCAATTTAGGTTGTGCAAACCTATGCGGTGTAGCATGTGTGGTGTAACCACTGTGGTGCAACATGTGTTCTGCACTATGTTGTGCGATCTATTTGGTGCACTTGATTTCGACAAAAGGGTTGGCACATTCCATGCTCTTGCAAACATCCCACCCACCCACTCGCAACTTGGTTTGAAACCATGCGGTGGCGACTGCGATGCATGCTTAGCGTTAGTTGGTGCATCTCTGCGGCCGCCCCAACTCAAGCACTCGCGCGCACAGCGGCCAGCTAGTTTAGCGCGACCGACGCGGCCGCGGAGGCGCTGACCGCTGGGCTCATCCCAGCGGGCACTTCACTGCGAGTCGGCGACTTGGGCGGGCGTGGTATCATGGCAACGTCGACAAGGGTAGACACGATGATGATCGCAGCGATGCTGGTGACGATGTCGACAACGACGGGGTCGCGGCCAGTGCGGGCGCCGATGCTGATCGCGCCGACGACGATGACGGCGTTCTCGCGTCGGTCATGAAGATTTTGGAACGAGTTCGACATGCGCGCGCGGCCGACGCGCCAGAGAGGCCCGCATGGTGTTATTTGACGCGGATCGTGCCCCCCAGCACGCGCGCAAGGGCGCGCGAATGATTTCGGCATGCGGCGCCAGAGGCCCGTTTGACAAAATCCCATGAACATGCTGAAACACTCATGGATGCCGGGGGAATTCGTAAAGCGCGAGCGCACGTTTTTTTGTTTTGTTTGTGTGTGTTTGTGTTTTAGAAACGGATATTGTGAAACCAGGTGTCATGTGTATATATATACACAAACATACATATTTGACATTCGGTTTTGAAATCGCTACGAGGCCGCAGGCTTGTGAAGGATTTCGGCATGCGCCCGCGATGACGCGCTCGCGTGCACTTCGTTTCCTTTTTTCAAATGATTCTCGCGACAGCACGCGCGCAAGGACGTTCGACGGATCTCGACACGCGCGCGCGATACCCGTTTAGCAGCATTGTCTGGCAACTATGAAACATCAACGGTTTTTGCCCGACGTCGTAAGGGCTTGCGCACAATTTCTTTTGATAATCAGTGTTGCGCATTTTTTGTTTGTTTCCCTTCTTGTTTTGGATTTTATTCGGTTTTAATGGTACTCGAGTGGGGGATCCTTACGAAGCCGAAGGATTTTGAAAGATTCCAGCATGCGCGCGACGACGCGCGCGTGCGCACTTCGTCCCGTTTTTTTTTTTTTTTTTTTTTTTGTTTGCAAGGGCTTTTTGGACACGGATGATTCTTGGTAAACGAGCGTGCGCGCATAGTTTTTGTTGCACAGGATGACGGGGGGTGTCGATACTGGTTGGGTTGGGATGGTTCGAGTTCATATTTCGGATGGGCGATGCGGTAGAATCGATTGTAAATCGAAATGCGAAAAGGGGTGCCCATAATCCCGGGGTGGTGATGGTGATAGAAGCTGTTTTACCAAGTATACGTATAAGCAGAAGAAACACACAAATCTTATGTGTATAGTAGTTTTGACCTAATACTACCAAAATCATTCAAAGGTCAGCCAAGATGGCCGCCGAGCCAGCCCCAGGACAGCTCCGACCACCTCAAGACGGCCGAAAGACGGCCCCAGGTCTGCCAGCCCAGAACCCCAAAAACGCCACAGGGTGGCCCAAAGATGCCCCCTCCCTGCTCCTCGCCCCCCTCCTCTTCCTGTTTCTCGCCGCTTCCTCGAGCACGGACCAGGGCGTGCATGCCGTTTGGTTTCCTCTCCGTCCGTTGGTTCCTTTGTTGGTCTTCCCCCCCCCCTGGCCCCTCCCAAGTGCTAATTCTCCCCCGGTTCTCCGTCTCCCTGCTCCTCCCCCGTCCTGCCTCCCTTTCCGAGCCTCCGTCGCCGGGCTTGCAGATTGTGTGACCCTAGGCGCGCGTGCCACTTGGGCCCCGGGAGTAGGGGATGTCTACGCACAGTCAGGGGTGACCTCTGCATTCTTCGCTGGATCTCAGGCTCGCGCGGGGCTCCCGCGAGTCGCGAGGACGGTGAGGCAGGTCACGTGCCCTTCTCCTCTGCACCGCGCGCGCGTGGAGCCCAGGCGGGCGCTTCGAGCGGACCGAAGTCGCACCGCCTGTTCGCCGAGAAAGACGGGGGCATTCCCCTTCGAGCATGGACTGCGAAGAAGCGCAGCGGTGACACGTGCTCCATACCATATTTTTGTCTGCTGACGCTCCCCTCAGGCCATGAACGCCTGGGGCGACGAGTTCGAACGGTCCCCGCGCCCGCCAGCGAACCAGGGCATGATGAGGAGGAGCGGGAAAGTGCCACCACAAGCGCTAGCATGCCTGCGCCGCTTCATAACTGGGCAGAAGGGGGGAGGGGACGCATCGGACGTGGCTGGTCTTGGGCCCCAGAGCTGCTTGGGATGCACGCTCTGGCGCTGGATGCCTGGGTGTCTCTTGGTTCCAAGCGTGCCAGGGTCGTCTACGGGGGTGCTAGACTGGCCATCCGAAGTGCGAGGTCCCACGTCGACCCTTGCAAATTGGCATCGCGAAGGGCCCAGGTTGCGTGTAGCGCGGGCCGCGGCCCTCTCCCGATGTACTGCGAGCCGCGTGCATGATGGTGTTCGCGGCAGTGCGGAGATGGGGGTGCGGATTAGGCGTGCACAGGCGCACTGAGTTCCGTGGGGCACGACCCGTGTGAGGGGAGCACCGACATGGGATGAGGACTGCATGCGAGGACAACCATTGAGGTCGTTGCTGGAGTGACGATCAGTGTAAGAGGTGTGCCGAAATGGGCTCGGGACGCCGTGCGAGCACCCCCCTCCCTCCCTCCCAGGGCCATCAGTGGACCTCGGAGCTCCCTACAGGGCACGATCCGCGTGAGGGTGTGCCGACGAAGGCGGCGCCCGCAAGCGGACGCGCTCGCCGGGGGCCGTAGTGGGCGCTCCCTGTGGAATGCGATCCGCGTGACGGGGTGCGCCGAGGTGTGCGGGGGGACGCCACGCGTCGGCGCCCGAAATTGGCGTGGGGACTCCGTGCGTTGGAGTCCACTGAGGCCGTGGATGGAGCTTCCTGGTGCACGATCCGCCCGAGGGGGCTGCCGACATGGAGAGGGGTGGGGGGGCACCATGCGTCCGCGCCCACTGGTGCTCTGGGCGGAGCGCTCTGTGGGGCACGATCCGTGTCAGGGTTGTGCCGAAGTGGGCGCCGCAGGTGGAGCGCCCAGGAGGGCACGAGCCGCGTGAGGTATGCGCCAGGTTGGTGGAGAAGGGAGAGGAACGAGGGGTGGAGAAGGAAGCGGATGGGCGGGCGGGCGGGAGAGGAGAGGACACGCGCGGCTCAGCGGAGAGAAAGTGAGGACCCACCAACACAGCAGGCCTGCGGCACATATCCAGGACTTTAGTTGACCAGCGGTGTTGCCCAACCATTGCACACAGGCACACCTTCTTGCAGTGACGGTGGTGCCAGGGACGTGCCAGGGCCTGGTGTATTGAGTGTTTTCGCCGCGTGGTTTGACTAGTGTGTGTGTATTTGTGTGTTAGTGGCGAGGTCACATAACGACTCATAACCATTAGTGTGCATGTCGTGGGTATTGGGTATTCACGGACACTACGTTCTCTGTTGTCTCCCTGCCATGATCTATTTGATTTTGGAGCCCAGCGATCCTTCTGGCAGAGGGCATGCCGAATCTCAGGAACGCGGCAGCCAGGGCCCATCGATGCTCCTCGGGTCATTTTCTTCGAGGTCAGCAGCTTTTGTGTAACCCCCTACCACCCCCGTGCCCAACCGCAGATTTTTGACTTTGCCCCTTCTCCTCCGTCTCTCGTTTCCTGACACCTCATTGCCCCGTGCCCGGTATGTCAGGCTCTTTGCTCCAGGCCCGGCTAATCCGTCATCGCTAACTCCTCCCCGCGTCAGCCATTCCTGCCCACGTCATGCTTCTCCAGCGTTCGCTCCACCCAGTGGCACGTTGTTCCTCAAGATTCGCTGTTCCTCGGTTAACTCCGTGGTTGTTCCTCTAGCCCTCCTCGTGCGTCCAGGAGCTGTTGGCTTCAAAAAGGGGGCGCAATCTCGACCCGGAAGGGGGAGGGGGGAGGAGGACGAGGAGGAGGAGGAGGAGGAGGAGGAGGAGGAGGATTTTGAACGATCTGGGATATGCGCGCGATCACACCCAGTTCCCCTGGCAGGTTGCAAAAAGAGAAGGGGTGTAGACTGTTCTAATCTCCGCCACTCCTCCCTATCCTCCAATGTACTCAGCTCCTCTTTTCCGATTGCAGATAACACGAGGGGGTCTTTTGTTGGCAGTTCCGGGTCCGTTATGACACATGTCCAAGGATAAAGCCATATCAGCGCAATGGGAAGGGATGGGTGGGAGGGTAGGATTTCAGATATGCATGTCCGCTCCCCACTCCTCTTTCCTCGTTCTGCTCCTGCTGCCGTTGCTTCTCCTCGCTCCACTTCGAGATCGGTCCCAGGATCCCTCCTCCACCTCAGGGTGCGCTCTCCTCCTCCCGTGCAGGCCGATCCAGGGATCTCTCGGCCGCGCCAGCCTCACCCGCGCCCCTCCCCATGCCAGGACCGCGCCGTGAGCTGGTCACGCGCAGGGCCGCGAGGGCAATGCCGCTTCGCGCCGCGCGGCCTGGGCGGCCGAGCTGCCCTGCTCCTTCTCCAGAGGGGGGGGGGGGCGGCGCGAGGGCGCGAGGAGAACCGCGCTTCGTGCTCCGCGCGAAGCGTGAAGCGCGACGGCAGGTGATCGGGGTGACGGGAAAAAGGGAGGGGGGGGGGGGGGGGGCAGCGCGGGCGGGCGCCAGGCTGGCAGTCTGAAGGCGGGGTGGGAGCGGGCTGGCCTCTGGGTGGCTGTTTGGTGGGAGCGGGCCCTCGCGCCCCACTGATGGTGGGGTGCTCGTACGGGCGTCAGCCTCGGCCACGGTGGTTCGGAGACCTGTTTCAGAGGAGGGCCTTCATTGTACGGGAGGCGTCGTGGAGGCAGTGGGTTCTTGAGTGCTCTCTCGGCGCATGGTCTTTCGAATTTCCTCTGACAGGGCGGGTCGCTCTATTCTGCTGTCGAGTCAACGGCAGGAAACACTTCAACGGTGACCTCCTCCACACGGTGGGCTCGGCGCCCCGCAAGACCGTGCAGGCGCCCTGGCGCGCAGTAGCCCGACACAGCGTTCTGGAGTGTGCATTCTCACAGTGGCGGTGTTGAGCCATCGGCAGGTCATGAGAGCGCGACGCCCCCTCCCGTTCTTGCTCGAGTGCAGTTGGGTTTCCCCGATGTCCACCGCGTGCCTCTCAACAGCCGGTTCGCCGCGATGCTTGAGGGCTGTCTGGTGTACCCTCAGCAGATCACTAGTAAGAGTGGGTGGGATTTCGATCCGCTGGTTACCTGAGGGGCCATTCTCGAAGCGGCAGCGCTGGTGCGCGCGCACATGCGTGCGTGTGAATGGGCACGTCGTAAATTCGGAAGGGCACGAGAGCGACCTTGGAAGCCACTCAGGAGTGCGCGCACGCTCGCTGGACTGCGGCTGGGGTGCATCCAGCCTTGAAGGACCCCCACTGGCAGGCCTTTGCGGCTCTAGCCTTGTCTCCCCAGTCGTACTACCACCCGTCGGTGGGCGCTCTGCGACATCTGGCCTTGTGCCCTGTTGCCCACGGCCTCCCTGTGTCTTTCTTTCCTGGCTGACATGGGCCCCTCCTTAGTCCCACGACGTGGAAGTACAGCCCTTCAGGCTCCACATGACATGTGCTCTCCTTAGCAGTGCCCTTCGCTGGTCGCTGTGGGCTGTGGGGGCCATCGGATTGTCGAGGTGCTTCATCAACGGGGTGGTTACATGCATCGTGCCTGTGCTTGCACTGGCCGGTGTTTGGACGCCGTCCCATGTGGGCGCAGTGTGGGGCTCATTTTCCCGGGCTGCCTGAGATGAATTCTTTTGGGCAGGTCTAGATCGCTCGGGCGAGACCTGACGATAGGTGGTCTCGTGAGGTGCCAGCAAGGCGCGCCAGCATGACTGCCTTTGCGTGCATAGTGACGACTGGGTGCGCCTTCTGCATCTAGACCGCCTCAGTGTGGGTTAGCCGCTTCATGGTCTTGCGCATTCGCTGCCCAGGCTGGGTACCAGCTGGCAACGCTGCACAGGAATTGCGGAGCGTCGGCGTGCTGGTTAGCTCGCAGCCAACACGGCCTGTGGCTCTATTAGGTTGTGCCCACTGGGCCGCCGTATGGGGGCCGCTCCATGGCGACATCAAGGTCCCTGGGTGATCCTGCCCGGCTCAGGGGCTTTTTCGACCGTCGTTCTCATGGGGCATGACACTTGTCCGAACCGAACCGAATCTCCTCATGGTCTGCATTTCGACGCATGTCTGTCTGCCTTGTCGAAGCAGTCCACCCACATCGGCATGTTGTGGGTTGTCGGCGTGGGCGAACTGTGCTCACAATAGGGCCGCACGCACATGTGTTCTGCGTGTGTTGAGTTTACATGTGTGGTTCTGTGTAAGAGCTGATGTTTGTATGTGTTTGTAGGCGATGCTGCCATTTGAATATGGTTCGACGTGTCGCGGCTCCCGACGGACGTCCGCCGATTAATTGCGTGGAGCTTTACTCATAGTGTCTGTTGCTGGGTCCTCTTAGGTATAGATATATCGATATATGCAGGGTGTGTTTACATGTGCCCTGATCTGTTGCAAGGTGCTCGTCCCACCACATTGTGTGATCGCGTGCTCGCCTACATATGCGATGCTATCGTTCTCATGCGCGCATACTGTGCCGCATGCCCATACTTATTTGGGGCATCGAATAGTAATATACTCAGCATCCGATACCTACGTGAGATATCGCTTTGCTAACCTCGCACCGCAACGTCTTGGCGCAGTACGACAAGGACACGCACACAACGTGTTATATGCTATCATTGATCATTGCAGCCTGCTTTCTCTACGACGTGAGCCGTGGTGCAATTATCGTATCGTGTCAAGCACGTGGTTGTCGCGTATAAGATCAGCAGGCAATCGAGTTTGGCATGCAGCTACGCCTCCCGCGTTTTGTCCTCAACGCTTAAGGCGAACTTATCTCAGAAGCCTTGCAGTCTTGCGTGCAGTAGGTCCCTCATTTGCACAATCGCTCGCCACCTCTAATCTCGCTCCGACCGCTCCCTGTGGACGTCGATTGGGCGAGACCACGGGACACGCACGAGGAGTGCATGTGTCTTAATGTCTGCAATGTTCGGGGCCTGTTCCAAGCTTCCAGGCCATGAATGAGTGGGGGGACGACTTCGAGCGGCGGCACTTCGATGGGGACCTAATCGGCGCCATCGACCGCACGCTCGCTGGACGGGGAGGGTTCGTTGGCAAGAGGATCGTCGATACATCTGCCTGCCTAGTTCAGAAGCTCAGCCTCTAGATCTTGTGCCCATCACGTATTTTTGAAGCCGTAGCAGGCCTCTTAGAACCTGGTTCAGCTCCCTGAGTCTTCTCTCGAACAGCTGGTTCTCGAATACTTGCGCTTCAAGATTCACCTCTTGGGAGTTTTCTTGTGGCTGGTCCAGTTGTGTATTCAAGACATGAGGCGGCATTTTCACATAGCGCGTCCACAACTATGTGTATCCTCACCGTGCTATGTTGTACTTCGCGTAAAATCCGACTCAGGACTACAGAGGGGGAGGGAGGGATGACGGGGATAAGGGACATGTCAGGCGTGCATATGGGAGCGGTGCTCGTTTGTCAACCTGCGTCCCTCTACGGGTCCTCACGGAGGCGCTAGTGAGTCCCTGAGTGGACAAGGGGGAGAGGAAGCAGGAGTAGGGACAGCAAGGGTCGGCGGAAGACAGCACATATGAGCAGGAAGCAGGGTGGTGCAGGTGATATTGCGCATGTGTACAGCCTGAAAACATCACATGGTTTTGTAGGGCGAGCAGGTTGGGCGAGCAGGTTGAAACCACGTCTAACCTCACTGAGCAATCATGCGATTTTGAAAACTTCTGTGCGAAAGCGCGCCAGTGGATGCCCCTCTAATTGAAACGGGTGTTTGTTTGTTTGTGTGTGTGTGTGTGTCTGTCTGTCTGTGCTCGCACACCACCTTCAGGGGGAGTGTGGAGAGGTTTTGGCCCCCCTTTCAAGTGGGGGGGCAGATCGGACCCGAACATCGGACAACTTATAAACACCTTGAAATGGATTCCAACACATTTCAACCAGTTACGTGCCGACCCCAATCGCCTCGAGCGGTCTTGGAGGCATGCTGTAGGATCCCTGATGTTTCCGTGCAGGATCCCTGGGATACCCTTACACGATCCCTGAGGGTTTCCTACCAGGTTCCGGAGGTATCCTTTCAGGATTCCTAAGGGATTCCTATCGGATTCTTGGGAGATTCCTACAGGATCCCTGAGGTATCCTTGCAGGATTCAGGGGGGATCCTTGCACGATACCTGAGAGACCCCAGGAGGATCCCAGGGGTCCCTGGGAGGTCATTTCAGGCTCCCTGAGGGTTCATTACAGACTCCTTGGGAGATCCTTACAAGAGCCGTGAGCCTTGGGAGATCCTCAGAGGATCCCGGGCGATCGTTACAGATCCTTACGGGATCCCTGGGAGATCCGTAAATGAGCATTGGGCCTTGGGAGATCCTTACAGGGACCCTTGGCCTTACAGGGCCCTTGGGAGATCCTTCAGGGCCATCCACTGGCGCACTTACTAATAGTAGCAGTAGTATTATAAGAGTGATGGTAGTAGTAGTAGTAGTAGTAGTAGTAGTAGTAGTCGTCGTAGTCGTAGTCGTAGTCGTAGTCATAGTCGTAGTCGTAGTAGTAGTAGTAGTAGTAGTAGTAGTAGTAGTAGTAGTAGTAGTAGTCGTAGTAGTAGTAGTAGTAGTAGTAGTAGTAGTAGTAGCAGTGATAGTAGCAGTAGTAGTAGTAGTAGTAGTAGTAGTAGTAGTAGTAGTAGTAGTAGTAGTAGTAGTAGTAGTAGTAGTAGTAGTAGTAGTAGTAGTAGTAGTAGTAAGTAGTAGTAGTAGTCGTAGTAGTAGTAGTAGTAGTAGTAGTAGTAGTAGTAGTAGTAGTAGTAGTAGTAGTAGTAGTAGTAGTAGTAGTAGTAGTAGTAGTAGTAGTAGTAGTAGTAGTAGTAGTAGTAGTAGTAGTAGTAGTAGTAGTAGTAGTACTAGTAGTAGTAGTCGTAGTCGTAGTAGTCGTAGTAGTAGTGGTGGTTGTAGTAGTACTAGTAGAACCATTAGTCGTAGTACTAGTAGTAGTACTAGTAGTACTAGTAGTAGTAGTAGTAGTAGTAGTAGTAGTAGTAGTAGTAGTGGTGGTAATGGTAGTAGCAGTAGTAGTAGTAGTAGTAGTAGTAGTAGTAGTAGTAGTCGTAGTAGTAGGCGTAGTCGTAGTAGTCGTAGTAGTCGTAGTAGTTCAACTAATCGTAGTCGTAGAAAAGTAGTAGTGGTAGTAGTAAGTAGTAGTAGCAGTAGGTGTAGTAGTAGTAGTAGTAGTAGTAGTAACAGTATTAGTAGCAGTAGTAGTAGTAGTAGTAGTAATAGTAGTCGCAGTAGTAGTAGTAGTAGTAGTAGTAGTAGTAGTAGTCGTAGGTGTAGTCGTACTAGTAGTGGTAGTAGTAGTCGTAGTAGTAGTCGTATTATTAGGAGTACTACTAATAGTAGTGGTACTAATAGTAGTAGTAGTAGTAGTAGTAGTAGTAGTAGTCGTACCAGCAGTAGTATTCGTAGCCGCAATGATAGTTGTAGTGGTATTGGAAGTGGTAGTAGTAGTAGTAGTAGTAGTAGTAGTGCGAGTAGTAGTACCAGTATTAATAGTAGTAGTAGTAACAGCAGCAGTCGCAGAAGTGCTAGTAGTAATAGTAGTAGTAGTCGTAGTAGTAGTAGTAGTAGTAGTAGTAGTAGTAGTAGTAGTAGTAGTGGCAGCAATAGTCGTAGAAATACGAGCAGGAGTAGTAGTAGCATAAGTAGTCGCAGTAACAGCAGCAGTGGTAGAATAAGTAGTCTTTGTAGTAGTAGTCGTCGTCGTAGGATTAGTTGTAGCAGTAGTAGTAGTAGTAGGAGTAGTAGTTGTAGTAGTACTAGTAGTGGTAGTAGTGCCAGCATTAGTAGTAGTAGTAGTAGTAGTAGTAGTAGTAGTCAGCGCAGTAGTAGTAGCAGTCGTAGTAGTCGTAGTAGTCATCATATGAATGGTAAACGTCGTAGTAGGAGTAGTAGTAGTAGTAGTAGTAGTAGTAGTACTAGTACTAGTAGGAGTAGTAGTATTAGTAGTGGTAGTAGTAGTCGTAGTTTTGGTAGTAATAGTAGTAACAGTAGTAGTAGTAGTAGTAGTAGTAGTAGTAGTAGTAGTAGTAGTAGTGGTGGTAGTAGTAGTAGGCGTACTAGTCGTAGGTCGCCGAGTAGCAGAAGTAGTAGTAGTAGTAGTAGTAGTAGTAGTAGTAGAAGAAGTAGTAGTAGTAGTAGTAGTAGTAGTAGGCGTAGTCGTAGTCGTAGTAGTCTTCGTCGTAGTAGTAGTAGTAGTAGTAGTAGTAGTAGTAGTCGTAGTAGTAGTAGTAGTAGTAGTAGTAGTCGTCGTAAGTGTAGTACTAGTATTAACAGTAGTACTGGTAGTAGTAGTAGAGTTAGTGGCCGGCGTAGTTGTAGTAGTAGTCGTAGTAGTAGTAGTAGTAGTAGTAGTAGTTGTAGTAGTAGTAGTTGTAGTAGCAGTAGTAGTAGTAGAATTTGGAGTAGTAGTCGTAGTCGTAGTCGTTGACGCAGTAGTAGTAATAGTAGTAGTCGTAGTAGTAATAGCAGTAGTAGTCGTAGAAACTTAAGTAGTAGTAGTAGTTGTTGTAGTCGTCGTGGCCTGTTGTATTTGTAGTCGGATTAGTTATAGTTGTGGTAGTAGTAGTAGTAGTAGTAGTAGTAGTAGTAGTAGTAGTAGTAGTCGTCCTATCAGTAGTAGTAGTAGTAGTAGTAGTAGTCGTCGTATGAGTAGTAGTTCTTGTAGTACTTGGAGTAGTAGTCGTAGTAGTAGTAGTAGTAGTAGTAGTAGTAGCAGTAGTAGTAGTAGTAGTAGTAGTAGTAGTAGTAGTAGGGCTAGTCGTAGGAGCAGTAGGGGTAGTAGTAGTGGTAGTAGTAGTAGTAGTAGTAGCAGTAGTACTTGTAGTCGTAGTAACAGTAGTAGTAGTGGGAATCGTAGTCGTAGTAGCAGTAGTTTAGTAATACCAGTAGTAGTGGCAGAAGTAGTAGTAGCAGTAGTAGTAGTAGTAGTAGAGTACTAGTAATAGTAGTAGCACCAGCAGCAGGAGCAGTAGTAGTAGTAGAAATGGCAGTAGTAGTAGTAGTAGTAGTAGTAGTAGTAGTAGTAGTAGTAGGAGTAGTAGTAGTAGTAGTAGCAGTGGTAGGAATAGTTGTTGTAGTCGTAGTATTTGTAGTAGTCGTCGCTGTAGTAGTGGTAGTATTCGTAGTAGTACTTGTCGTCGTAGTAGTAGTAGAAGTAGCAGCAGTAGTAGTAGTCGTAGTCGTAGTAGTAGTAGTAGTAGTAGTAGTAGTAGTAGTAGTAGTAGTCGTAGTGGTGGTAGTAGTAGTAGTAGTAGTAGTAGTAGTAGTAGTAGTAGTCGCCTCCTGAGTCGTAGTAGCAGCAGGGATAGTAGTAGTAGTAGTAGTAGTAGTGGTGGTAGTAGTAGTAGTAGGAGTAGTAGTAGTCGTAGTAGTTGTTGTTGTAGTTGTAGTAGTAGTAGTAGTCGTCGTAGCGAAAGTAGTCGTAGTGGTAGTAGTAGCAGCAGTAGTAGTTGTTGTAGTAGCAGTAGTAGTAGTAGTAGTAGTAGTAGTAAATGTAGTAGTCGTAGTGGTAGTGGAAGGCGTCGTTGTAGTAGCCGTAGTAGTAGTAGTAGTAGTAGTTGTAGTACTGCTAGTAATGGTAGTAGAGTAGTAGTAGTCGTAATCGTAGTTGTAGTATTCGTCGTAGTAGTCGTAGTAGTTGTAGTCGTCGTCGTAGTAGTAGTCGAAGAGGGGGTAGTTGTCGTAGTTGTACCCCTTCAACTCCTGCCCCTACTACTGCTCTCACAATTAGTTTTACTACCACTACTACTATCACTACTTCTACTACTACTTCCACTACTGCTACTACTACTACTACTACCACTACTACTACTACTACTACTACTACTACTGCTGCTACTACTACTACTACTACTACTCTTTCTACTACCACTACTACTACTACTACTACTACTACTATACTACTACTACTACTACTACTACTACTGCTACTATTGCTGTTGCTGGTGCTGCCGGTGCTACCTCTACGACGACACCAACTACACTTCGCTGCTGCTACTGATGTTGCTACAACAGCTACTATTATCATTACTTCTACTACGACCACTCCTACCACTGTCACTGCCACGACTCATACGACTACTATTATTTTGCTGTTACT